TTTGATTGTGTTTATCTACAGTTAGTTACACGAATTCAGTTATGGGATGAAATCGGATAGGGATGAAATTGTTTAGGGATGAACGGGTTTAAGAGTTTTAAGAGTTTAAGAGATTTTAAGAGTTTTAGCCAAATGCTTTATAATATAGTATAGATATATATATATATATATATATATATATATATATTATAATAACCCCACATCTTACAAAATAACACATCATAACATGTTATAATGTGTTATGACGCGTTACAATGAAAGTCAAGTCTCAAAGTGGAGCCATATGAGTTAATATGACGGCAAACTCAAGCCTTAAAGCCATAACGCGCCATAACAAGGTGATAACGAGTTATTTAGAATCATGCTAAAATCAAATCAATCCAAAATAACAACACGATTGAATCATACCATACCTAATATTACAATCATAACCAAATCCGTAATCTCGATAACATACACATATCAAGCAATCTTTGAATAAATTTGTCGCTTATTGTTCTTCATTAAAAATTTCAAGCACACGGGCATACGGTCCCCTTATGTCTATTAAGTCGGTTTTCTCTTTCAGTATGGTCAACAACCTATAAGTCAAAAAAACTTGATGATTGTTGTAGTTCTAATACAATTTAAAAAAAAAAATATATCTGGTTTTGTCATTTTATTGTTTTATTGGACAATGCCGATCCTATTGTTTGTTGTTGATACATTTACGTATCAAATTAATGTCAGTACTGTAATATTGATCTACTAGTTTGTATATTCGAAATTAAAAAAGTGAAATAACATATGCTTTTTAAATTATATTTAAATGGGTATTTAATAGAAATTCAGTTTCAAATGTCACCATAAAAGTTGGTTGTGGGTTTTAATCAAAATTTCAGTGTCTATTGCTTTACTCTAAAAACTCGAATTCTTAAGTCACGTAACGAGTTAATAAACTATTTATTTTCTTATCGTTTACTAAAAGAAAAAGTATACAAATCAAATATCATTCATTAATGTTATGCGAGTTTTTGTTGGTTGTCTCGTTATATATGTATTTGGAGATTTATGAAGCAATGCAAGCTAATTATATGCCGGAAATTTGAACTTATAGTGTGTTTATTGATGTAGAATGTTATAGCATTTGAATTTTCTTAAAATCCGAACGAATCTGCTAAACTTGTTGGTGGTTTATAGAGCTGATAATAGCACAATATTCTAGGATGTATACGTTAGCTGTGTTGGGATTGTGTTTTGGCAGTTTAACCGAGTATGGTGTCGATGGTCGGTTGTCGAGTGTGGTAGTGATCGAGGATTGAAGTAACCACTTGGGTTGGTGGTCAATAGTGAGCTGTTGATGGTGGTTATCTGCGTTGGTGAAAGATTATGAAAAAAACGATATCTTATATAATAATATTAAAGAAAATTAATATGATTACCATATTATCATCAATAAGTTAATATTTTATTGGGAAATTGACTCAAATGACTACTTTTTATATTTAAATTGGTCTTCTAACCATTTTTTACGGAGGTTTACCTCATGTCATTACTTCCGCAATATTAGTTAGGTCTGTAATATTAGCTAAAAGACAAAAAAATAAATTAAATTCAACTAATTTACCGTTGCAATTGCGGACATGGCCGTCAAAATTGCATATTTGTGTTGAATTTGATTTTTTTTTCTTTTAACTAATATTTCGATCATAGATATTGTGAAAGTAATGACATTTAAATAAACTCATGAGAGAAATAATTGTGAGACTAATTTAGATAAAAAAAATGATCATTTGAATCAATTTTCTTATTTAATTTGGTTTACTACTTACTACATCACAATTTACCTACGTAACATCAGTTTTTATTAGGTTTGCAAGTAATTTGGTCCCCCTTTTTGGTTAAAAGTTGACTATTTATACTATACTAGAAAGATATTTGCGCAATGCAGCGAGATATATCTCGATTTTAATGTTTTGTTTTATTTTGTCCCTTGTCAATGTTATAATACAATTTTATGTGGTTTTAAGAAGAAGAAAAAAATGTAATGTTTTTATTTTTGAGTAAAATATAAATTTGAAGATATCTTAATAATTTTTAAAAAATATATCGATATTAGTGTCAAATTAACTAATTAAAAGTTCTTATTTTGTTTTGTTTT